TATATATATATATATTTGGAATATTTACATATACATTGACATTGTTTGACTTATGTTTCCAATGTAAAATCTTGGACAGATTTACAGTGTGCCCTTTTAGGAAGCTGGTTTTAAACTGCACTTTGATGTAATGCTTCATTGAAACAGAAATATTTGTATTTTATCCATGAAAAGTAAACATGTAGAAATGTTTGAAATCCTCAAAGTGTTTTGCTTTGCACATAAAATTGATCAAGACAGCAAAAAGCCACAACTGATATGAAGAGTTTTCCTAAAGAGCAAAGTTCACAGTTTTCGACTGCATAAACAGGCTGCACAGTAACAGAGAGACACTTGCCCTAAATTAATAGTTCACAGACACTGACAAGCATTGAAACGGTTTACCATTTATGCAGTTTATGATATGCATGGAACATTAGATTAAACGCCTGAAATATGAGTGAGTGAGTGAGGAACAGGGAAATTGCTGCGTGCTTTGCACTGCATGCATTAGCTGAGCCTGACAAGAAACTCGATGCCTCCTAATTTGTTTATCTTTCTAGATAAGGTTTTTTTTTTTTAGAGGGAGTCACATAATGACTTTGATAAACACTGAAATTCAGGGATTTACACGGAGGCTTGTTGGACTTTTGTTGCTCATTTGTTGAGACTTGTTGCTCATTTGTATTGGAAAATGTTGTAGGGTGAATAATTGAGGATTTGGCAGCATTCAGGACTGTGCCTGCTGAGGGAACCAAAATGACATAACGCAGATCAAAACGGGCCACCAGAGAAGTTCTGTTATCGTACATGTTTTAAGCAAGAGATACAGATTTTTGTTTATGCTGTGAAAATGCCATATTGTGCATTAGCATAAAATGGTTTATATTTGTTGACTTCCATCTAAGGTTACTCAGCTTAAGAAATCACATGACTAAAAGACTGAACTTTATAATTAAGCAATTTCCTTAAAGAAGCTGGTATGAACATATGGTTTCTCTTCCTCTTTCATTGTGGTAAGAGGCTTTGTTTCTGTGCTGACTTACCAATTGGGTCAGTTTTAACCCAGACATTTTTAGATGTACTCTAAAACAGGGCTGTGGCAGGTGTAAGAATTTTTATGTGGTGTAATTTTTTTCTGTATCATCAGAAATGGCCTGTTTTACAGTAATGAACCTTATACTTTATATGAAGTAATGCTTGTGTTTTGTGCATATGTGAGCCTGAATAACTGAATGATTTAATATTTAATCATCCAAATTTAGCTTACAGTAAGTTACAGTAATAATATTTCAGACACCAATACCTGTTACTCTGTTAATCTAATGAAAGCAAACCATTCTTTAAAACTGCAACTCAGTTCCTCAGTTTAAGCAAGATTACAGAAACATGACTCAGAAGGAATGTCCCTTTAGTGAACAACCACTTCAAAGTGTCTTTTTGCTATCAAAGAAGTACAATCTCTGCAAGCATTTCCGTTCATTTAACACTGACTTGATAAGCATTTTTAGCTTCTAGTTCGCCGTTTTCTTTAGCTGAAACTACTTTTTGAGGGCGCAAACAGTTTTATGAGCGAGGTCATGGTGAAATGAACCGATAGAGCAAGTGAATCTAGAAGAGAAAGCAATGAGGTAGATGAGGAAAACAAACATTTAAAAATGTCCCTTTTTCAAACACACACCCACCGTTGGCCACTTACCAGAGGAGGCATAACCTGTCCTTATGTGACACATTGAGCGGTCACAGTGGAACGAGTCTGGACTCGCAAGGTGATTTACAACACACTCATTATGTTTTTACTGCAGTTCCCATTAGAGTCCGTTTTATCTGCTGACATGCATCCCTCTTTCTCAGAGTTGCCCTCAGCTGGGTCACTGTCTTGTGAGCTGCCTTTGCTTCGCCCTCGGTGCTCACTTTGCCAGCTGTGCCCACTATATGTATATCCATTGACTGGCCTAATGTTAGGGTAGCGCGACCTGTTGAGGCATAGGATCTCCTTGAAAGTGTACCTAAACTCTGGACTTCTACAGTAGATCAGTGGGTTAAAGGCTGAGTTAGCGTAACCTATCCAGTTTAAGATTTTGAATGCAATATTGTTCAGTTCTTGGCCATATATGGCAGTGACCACATGTAGTACAAAGAATGGGAGCCAACACAGCGTGAATATACCCATAATGATGCCCAAAGTCTTCAAAGCTTTATGTTCCTTTAAGCAGAATTTGGGCTTCTTGGCAGTCCTTGCCTCACAGTGGATGCTTGCCGCCTCTTGCTTTTTGCCGTTGTTCTGAGCATGAAATCGTCCCTCACTTTTGTCTATCTTCTTCAGCTGCTTCCTTGCCTCCTGGAAGACGCGGCTGTAGACGAAAATCATGATGACCAGGGGGATGTAGAAAGAGATTATGGATGAGATGATGGCATAAGGGCGATTGGTGTTGAAGTCACAGCAGGTAACATTCTTCAAGCAGCACTTTGCAACATTACTATCGGAAATCCACCAACCCATATGGATGGGTAGGAAGGAAATGAGCCCGGCGATGACCCACACCAGCAGCACAATGATGCGAGCTCTGCCCTTGGTCAGTAAGGACTGGTAGCGGAAGGGGGATGTTATGGCGATGTAGCGATCCAGAGCGATGACACAGAGCGTCTCGATACTGGCTGTGACGCACAGAACATCGGTGGCCGTCCAGAAATTACACCAGAATTTGCCAAAGTGCCAAGTGTCAAGGATGATGAAAATGGCGCCAAAAGGCACCACCACCAATCCCATGACCAGGTCTGCACACGCAAGTGACGTAATGAAGCAGTTTGTGACGGTCTGAAGTCGTTGGAAGCGGCCAATGGCTGTAATCACTAACACATTGCCGAAGACGATGACCAGAACAAGAATGGACATGAGTGTGCCCAGAATCACCATCTGTGGTTCACCAATGTTGGAGGAGTTAGATGTTAAATTCTTACACTCGTCAGGTGCAGGGGAAGGTGTGGTTTCCATGACCTGACAGAGATTGAAAAGGAAAAGCAGAAATATGCTGAATTAGTTAAAAAAAACACACACAAAGGCTTGTGTACTGAAAATGTAAAAATGTAAACAGTAATTAAACAAGTTGTAAAAACAGTGCAACTCAATGCAAAGATAATGCTTTTTTTTTTACAAACCTCCAAAAACGGCTTCCAACTCCACTCCTCCTTCCATATAAAGTTACAGTATGCTTTTAAGGTCTGTAGGTTTGTTACAAATAAGTAGATCCTTCCCACATTATGGCTTTCTCTTGTGTGCTTATCTCTCTCTCACTTTTGCTCTCTCTTCCTCTGTCACCACAGCAGTCTTCTCAACTTTTCTCAGACACAGTCACTCTGTTGAGCGGTGTTACGTTAAGTGTGGCTCCCAGGCTATTTGTCAGAGCCCTTATAACATTCTGTGATGACATCATAGCTGACTTCCAGCCAATGAGCTGAGAGTGAGTTGAAGGCTGCACTGCTGCTACAGAATTAACTAACAACATTCTGACAGCTACAGTGAGACTATTTGAATTGTATTTCAAACAGTTAATGCAGACTAGTTTTAAATATTTTTTCTGTTCTGATACATTGTTTCTGGCTTTTATGAAAGTTTGTGTTCTGTAACTCATGAAATTCATTCATGTAAGTGCTTTGGCACTGACAAGACTATATATATATATATATATATATATATATATATATATTCGTTCTCGTGTGAATGACAAACTGAACTTAACTGATATTTTTATCAAAAGCGACTTATAGAAGAAAATAAAGGAACATAAGGAATTTGTCACAGAGCCGACAATATTAGTGTACCATCCGAGATTTATTGGAAAGCTAGGAATCAAGCTAGACCAGAGGTGAAATGCAAAGAATATGAGGAAATTTCTATTTGTTTGTTTGTTTGTGTGTGTGTATCTGCCTTTGAGGTTGTGGACTCAAGTTCTTGTGCTTCAAATTTCAGTGCTTTAAATTTCGAAGGTCTGCTTTGGTTTTGTCCATGATTCAGAGATGAAACTCTGAGCACGTCTTCATTTGTGAATTTTGTGAAACAATGCCCATATCATTGTTTGAGTTGCTGGCTTTGCTTCCTGTGGGTCAGACCTGCTGAGCAGGTCTATACAGTCTTTATATGCTAGAGAGAGTAAAAGATCTTAGTGCCGATTACTATTGTCCATGTATCATCTGAATGTCCAGAATCATGCCTCCAGCACCACTAAAGCCCAAATACCTTTAGTGTTTTTAGCTTATTATATAACTCAAATGTAAAAAAACAAACAGTCATGCTTAAAAATGAAAATCACCCAAAAATGAAAACACCCCATGGTTTCAAACCTGTATGATTTTTTATTTATATATATATATATATATATATATATATATATATAAAAGGTTTGGAACACAGTGAAGGTGAGTAAATGTCTTTCAGTGTTTTAAAATCATCACATGTTCAAAAACATATTATTTAACTTTTTTTAGTTATTGACATTATGTTCTTTGAATATGTTTTTATATGTATTATATATATTTGTGACATTTAATGACCTAGAGTGGCTACACAGTCAAATGCAAAGGTCAAGGTCAAGGTCAAGGGCAAGTTTATTTATATAGCACCTTAAAAGCAACGTGTGCTGACCAAGGTGCTGCACAGCCAAAAAAAAACAAAAACATATTGACCAACAAATAAAAACATCATAAAGACACATAAAATTTAAGATCCTTAAAATCTAACTATATAAATGAAAAGTAAAATATATATATATATATCACCAAACAAAGAAAACATAAAAAAACAAAAAAATACAAAGACAAATATAAAACAAAACAAACAAACAAAAAATACAATTGTGCTGTTTATTATAAATCTTGCAGTTTTCTTCAGCATATAGCCATATGTACTGTATGTGGCCATGGTATCAGTTTTACTGTAGAGTTTGATTAGTCTTACTGAATGAAAATTAGTGGGTGGACTTTGAGTACCCTTGGAACATGGAGATATGAGTAGTGATCAATAGCTTTCTTCGCCACTTTCTCTACTATGCGTGGTTTGTCTATGTGCTCTCTGATGGCCATGTACTGTGTGTTACAATATGGATATGAGGTGAAGATCAGATAAGATGTGGCAGTGTCATGTCTGCAGAGATATTAGAGGAGGGGTCTGTGAATTTGAGTAAGATGGCTTCTTTTGAAAGTTATTGTGGAGAAGGAGGATGTATGTAGAAGTGGGAATGAATGGGACTACAGCAGGGGTGCCCAATCCTGCTCCTGGAGGGCCACCTTCCAGCAGAGTTTAGCTCCAGCCTAATTTAACACACCTGAACCAGCTAATCAAGGTCTTCAGGATCACTTGACAACTTACAGAAATTTCATGGGAGCAGCAGATTTAATTTGTTTTTGCCATCTGTGGTTTCAGACTGAATAAAGAAGCTGCCAACAACAAAGGGTGTGGTGCTTGTTTGTTCAGTTGTCAAATATGTGATAACTTAATGATTAGTTGTTGAGTCAATAAATCTAGATTTTTTTGTTCTCAAGCCACTGAACTCTGTGTACCAACTTTGTTTTAGTCATATATAGATATAATTTTATAACATTTCTTTCATTTAAGTTATTAATCTAATATTAATATTTAACTAATTATTATTTTAATGAACAAAACTGTTTTAATGTTAGTTTACAGTAACACTGTTGAGTACAATGAGGCATTGTCTCTGTCTCTGCGTTATTTGAGACTTCTGTTTATGGAATGCTTGGTACTGGTAGTTCCTGAAAAAGACAGTTTAAAAGTAGCTTGTTTGCCACCAGTTCACAATGGTCCATCTTTTTCAATGAAAAAAGCAATCTAATACCATGACCAATTGCTTGACCAGCATAATCGCATAATCGTTACATAATAATAATCGTTGAGGGTTCAGTCTGGACTGATGATCCAAAAACTGTGGTAAGAGTGATCTATGAACTGAAAAATAACTAAGAATGCATTGCACAGCAGAGCTCTTAAGCACAAATTGCTCCAGGTCCAAGTAGTAAATGTACTGATAAGTGCTCTGGGTAACAAAACATGTCTGCTAGATAAGTTACAGTATATAAAGTTAAATACCTTAATTTTTAATCCCTTTGGAGAAACTGGTCATCCTGAAATTAATCAGAATCAGAATGAGCTTTATTGCCAGGTATGTTTACACATACGAGGAATTTGTTTTCGTGACAGAAGCTTCCACAGTGTAACAGAATGACAGTGACAGAACAAAAAACACAGATAATAAAAAATAGAACAAGTAAATAAGGAATAAAAATATATAAATTGACAGTTGTATGTGCAGGTATATTACAATAGACAGTTTTTGTATGTACAGGTACTGTATATTATGTGCGATTCAATGATGGCGGAGTAGAACTGTTTCAGCAACTGTTAAACAGGAACAACCAGGAATTAAATTCCTTTCCCTTCAAGTGGGACAGATCGAGAATGTTAAACATGACCATGTCAATAGGGCAGTCGTAGCCTAAAGATTAGAGTGTCGGACTTGTAATCCGAACGTTGCAGGTTCGAGCCTCAGGTCCGGCAGGAATTGTCGGTGGGGGGAGTAAATAACCAGTGCTCTCTCCCACCCTCAATACAACAACTGAGGTGAGACCCTTGAGCAAGGCACCGAACCCCAACTGCTCCCTGGGTGCCGCAGCATTGGCTGCCCACTGCTCCTCCGGGTTTGTGTTCACGGTGTGTGTGTGTGTGTGTGTGTTCACTGCTGTGTGTGTGCACTTTGGGTGGGTTAAAATGCAGAGCACTAAATCCAAGTATGGGTCACCATACTTGGCCACATGTCACGTCACTTTCTCCTCTATTGAACATCCAGACTGTCCATCTGGTTTCTGTCAGGGAGAGCGAGGCGATTGGCCGTCTCATGGCTGCCACATGAATTGTCCCGAGAGTTAGTGTGACAAAGTCGGATTTAACAACTAATATATTTTTGGAATGGTAAATAACTTCCAGTTGGAGTTTAGTGTAAATTTCCAACGTGTGCAGTCCATGTAATTCTGCTGACGGTGTGTCCCGTGAGTGTGTCCCAGCATCACAACTTTGTATGTGCACTTGGATGGGTTAAATGCAAATTCTGAGTATGGGTCGCTTCACTTCACGTCAACCAAACTTTACATATCAAATTTTATGCAAACAGGGGTGTCTTTGATGAATGTTTATAAGAACAGCATTTATCTAACATAGAAACAATTTGTAACATTATAAATGTATTTACTGTCATTTCTGATCAATTTAATGCATCCTTTCTGAATAAAAGTATTCATTTATTTATCATTTTAAGCACAAACATACAAATTCAGGCAGTTTATATATATATATATATATATATATGTATGTGTGTATGTGTGTGTGTCTGTGTCTGTGTCTGTACACACACACACACACACACACACACACATAAATACATGTGACATATAAGGAGCTGTTTCACTGATGTGGACCTTTGAATCTGATGTAGCTATCTATTCTTTCTAATAAAAGCAAAAAGCAAAGTTGTTAATATTTCTCTGAAAAATAGAGCAAATGTTCATATTCCATCTGGATTTTTAGCCTTACTAACCTGTACAAAGGCTAAATTTGCATATGGAGTATTCTGTGAATCCATGATTCATAATACAAGATTGAATTCTGTTGAAGTCTGTATATTGTGGTTTTTGGGAATCAGTGACATTTTTACAGTTGGCTTCACTCCCTATCGAGTACGACTAGACAGGCCTTATATGTTGTATGAGTAATCTTAACCAATCGCAGTGCTGAATACTGATGTGCATGTGGACAGATTCTTTGGAATCAACTGTTTATTTTCCTTATATCTCTGTGACCTTCCGGATATAAATAAATTCCAACACCCCCGTCATCAGGAAATCCAGATGCTGGCTGGCAAAGTTATAAAGGGCACTGGTAAAAAAGAAAAAATGGATAGAGAGGTCTTCCAGAATGTGCTCTATGGAGACATGGCCGCCAGTGAATTCTGAAGAGGGAGCTGTGTTTTCATGTTGGTTCTAATTGGCTTGGTATGTATTGGCTTAACATCATAAGGGCTGTGTCTCGCTGTAGGCGTTGATACTCTCAGAGTATGAGAGCTGAATTCCTCAAGGAGAGGAGGAGCATGTGGAAATGTCCTAGAGGAGAGAAGTTGTTTTTTAATACCAATGAGTCGGACAGTTGCAGGTGGGAAGATGGTGTTTTTAGAGTAAGAAAATAATAAATTGGCTTTAGTTTTTTTTCTGTATTATAATTCCCAAAAAGCTAATGTTCCATAACAAATCAACAATTATGAATGAACTTCATAATTTATCACCTTTGGCCCACCTTCCTG